CCCCAAAACCCCAAAACCCCAAAACCCCTTATTAACTAAATAAAATAGTAATAAATTATTAAAAATGTTTTGGGGGTCTGGATCAAGTGGGACGAGTAAGGATGCAAGAGAGGTTTTTAAGTGGGATGGGTGTGTGGGAGGGGGAGTTAAGGGGTTTAGGGGGAATTGGGGGTTCAAGGAAAGGGAGGTTACTTCGGAATGTTTTTAGTCGACTATAGGTATGCATAAGGGAGTCTAGGGGTAATATAAGGGAAGGTATTTATAGAGAAGGATGTATTAAGGAATTTCTTCAATGTTGAGATAAAAATGTTTTGATCATTTAATTGTAAAATCTCAATGTTTTCCAAAAAGCGGAAGAAATATTTATTAGAAATGAAATCAAGTAATTTAAATACTTATTTTATTTAGAGGATAATTTAAAGCTTACTTTACAGTGGAAGCCTAAAATTAGTTATCTAAAAATCATATTTTATTGACAAATATACTCAAAAATCTTTATAAATCTCTCAAAAAGCCTTTAGATAGCATAATGCCATTCTGGAGAAACAGAATAGAACTATAAATAAAAAAAACTTTAAGCACAATAACAAAAAATAGGCAAAGGAAATTACTACCCAAACAGTAGAAGTTATGCTGATAGAGTAAGGAAACAAGAAAATGATAAGAAGGCTCTCAGAGAAGCGAGAAATGAAATAATAAACCTGAAAAATATTATTCAAATCTATCAAGAAGATAAAGAAGAACTTCAGAAAACAATCGAATGATTAACAGTTACCTTGGATAAGAAGGAGCTTGATCTTTCTAATTCTAAATAGTAAGATAGAAAAATATAATCTAACCTTTTAGAGACAAATGATTCTTCTCAAGAACTCCAATGTCAAAAAAGTAATTATTCTTCACTAATTTAAACTATCCATTACTATTGTCATAATTTGATCAAATTGCTATTCTTATTTTGGATCATCAAAATTGAATAATAAAGGAGTTTTACAGTTTGTATAGATAAGAATGCTAATCTTCTGCGAAGATTAACAAAGCTGGAGAGTGAGAACAAAACTCTTCACGAAAATCTTGATCAGTGTCAAAGACAAATCAATGACCTTGAAGCTGTCAACCTCAAAAACCAAAAAGAATCCAACGAACTAGAAGAATCAAGGAAAATTAATGAAGCCAGCATTAAACAGTATGAAGACAGATGCACAGAATTAGCTGAAGAAAATCAAAAATTGAAGAAAGACAACGAGCAGCTTCTTCATGAAATTGAAAAATATAAACACATGATCAAAGAAGTTGATTCTCATGATCAATTGCAATCAAAAAATTTAAAGTAAAGAGAAGAAAAATAAAATTAAGAAAGAATTAATACATTCTCAGAATAACTTCGCAAAATTAACTGAAGAACATTTGGAGCTCCAGTCTAAATACTCAGAGCTGCAAGACAAGCTGGCTCAAGCTGAAGTCGAGCCAGAAGTCACTGTTGAAGAGTACAACAATCTGGCCATCAAATATAAAGAGCTGAAGAAAGATGAAAACAACATGAGAAGTATGGTTTTAACTCTGACTGATATAGATATTCTCAATACAATGATAGGTATGAAGTATGATGAAGAACAGAAACAAAACCACAAGGAATCGGAAGACCACGAACAGTCGAAAGAACCCATTCAGCCAGAAGACACAAGCCAAAAAATCAAAGACCCAGAGCAACCAAACAAGTAAGCTGGCGTCTGACGAAGCTGATTTTGTAGAGAAGACGAGAATCCAGACATTTGAGAAGTGGACATGAGCAAATACGAAGTAAGCTGGAGCTGACACTTTAGTTGGAGTATTCGTCAGATGACACCAGGTTCATTGATGAAGTAAGTACAACATTTGAGGCATTAATTAAAAGAGCTAAAGACTAAAATCTTGTATATTTTGGAGTGATGAGTACAAGTTTAGTTATTGTATTCTACATTTATCATTGAATCATGATATTATTGACACTACTTAATCTTTAACAATAATGTATTGTTTGATTTTCAAAACTAAACTTCCATCCAATCAGCCTGAATGTCATCCTTTCTATTCTGAATTCCAAGATGGAGACCTATTTCTTATAACCATTAAAACAATATTTTTGTGTTTAGGTTTTCATCAGAAATCTGGTATGCTTAAGTCATACTTTAACTCCATCAATATAGGTAGATGAATCACCTGCTCAGATTATCTCAATTAGTCAAAGTGTCAAGGTAGGGCACCTAAAAGCCCAAAGAGCTCCAAAGATGCTTAAAGCTGTCAAATACCCAAATAAAAGAAAGCCAAAAGTCCCTAGAAAAGCAAGAAAATATAGAGACAAAAGCTAATAAAAAATTCCAAAACTACAATCAAAATATAACATCTTTCAACTCCAACTCCTCTCTACGGGGTTTTGGGGTTTTGGGGTTTTGGGGTTTTGGG